GGCATCGCTGTGCGCCGATGCCGAATATCAGAAAGAAGATACAGTTCATGGCCTCTTCATCTTGACTCATGGGCTCTCCACGCAGCCAATGTTCGAGGTCCTTGAGGATTTCAGACTCATTGAAAACATCGAGAATACAGTTTGTTGCACGGAGATACCACCGCAGCAGATATCTTGCCTGCTCAGTGCTAGGCTTGGAGGGGATATCGGCGGGATTCGTGATGATCCATTTTGGGCGGCCTTCAGGAGTCGCCTCGACCATGATATGCCGTAAGGGATCATCAGTGAAGGGGCACAGGCCGACGCGATCGCGCACAAGCCGGCGTATCACTTTCAAGAAGGCCAGATTGGCGGCGTCGCCGATGAACATGAACCGTCCCTTGCCATCTGCGATGAGTCGCGATACCTTTGGTACCGCAGTGCTCTGTGAGAGGTGGCTGATTGACGACGACGCGCGCCGGTGCTGATGGTGATGACTCGGTGAAATGACAGCTTCATGAAAGGAGGCAGTCGGCCCATAAGAGCTGAAGAGATCCTGACCGTGACCGGGAGGACTGCCTCGGTGAGGAGGAGCAGGAGGAACATGAACCTGCGGGCGATCAGGACTTCTCACGGATGACGAGTCCTCCGCAGCGGCAAAGTTCGTCGGCGGGCCGATGAAGGTGCAGTCGGCTTCGACTCTGCGGATCACGCACCTCCGACAGGGTTGTTGACCATCGCAGCGTTCCTTGCGCCGCTTGCAATTCCCGCAAGCCTTGACGCATCTACGCCGCTCGCTCTGACGAACTCTTTTCGTAGGCATCGTCTGCTCGCCTTCGACGTTCAATCTGATTGAAGATACGATATGAAAAAAGTGACAGCCTCAAAGCTGTCTCAATTCAACTAGAGACGAGTGCGTGGCAAGATAGGAGACGTTGAACCTCGGGGCTGGGGGGCCAGACAGGACTACGGCGGCGGCGGCCAACTGAGGCAAAGGATGGTCCGGGGCAGAGCTCTTGGCTTTCCCTTTCCCCCTTTGCTTGCGCGCGCGCTCTCTCGCTTCTTTTGCGGGGGAGCACTTTTCCAAGGGGGTCCTAGCTCACAAATGTTTCCCCAGATTTTGCTGCCCGCTGCGGCGCAGTTCAACCATCCCACGCCTCAAAGGATGCCGAGGTTTTTGGAGGTTCAAAGAGAAATGGGGAACAAGTCAGAACTCAAGAGTCGTCAACCCCACGGTGGCGTAGCCAATAATGGTCGGGGTCTTACTTCTGCAGTAACTACCATTGGCTGTGGTTGGTTGCTTGAAGAAACGGGTTGTTGGGTTGGATCGTCAACCGCTTGGCTCGGCATCCAACAGTGTCCCGCATCCGTTCCGTCAACCCACGCGATATATCCACCGCTTACAAGTCCGACGGCATTTTGAGCCATTATTCAACTCATGCCTTCACTCGAAAGACTCGAAGACGATGCAATTGATATCCAATGCGGACTGGATCATCGTTACTACTCTCCACCGTTGCGTTACCACGTCAGTTCTGCAAGGAAGACACTGCTGGTAACACCGAGAGAGGGCCAGCATAGAAATATGACAGCGAAACTGGCTTGGAAACAACTGACTAAAAGCCAGCAGCGACTAGCATAAGTGCCACCTTCCGAGGACACCATTTCAATTAAACTGTAATGTCAAACGCACCTATCTTTAACCAATAAAACACTCAAAGCTTGTCCCTTACCCGACATGACCTCGAGCCCACCGATGCCCTTATCCGACGATCGCCCCAAGACCGAGAGGAAACGGTTCCATTTCATTGTCCCAAGCCTGAGCGCGGCCCCAGGAAGCGCCACCTAACTTGCCAGCCCCTCAAGCTAGACCCGCAGTAGCTGCGCCCATTTCCGAATCCATCGGGAGCCGGGTCTGTTGGAAGTGGTTCTAGAGTTTCTACTGCTGGACACTGGGACAGCACACATGTACCCTTCCGCCCGATTCCCGATGCGGGTCCGACGTTTCGTTGTCCACTGCTGTAACGCAGCTGCTTCCGACCTCTCGCGAATCGCCGAATCGGATCGGGGAGTCAGATCGAGAGCTACGGGAAATGCAGAGCGGATATGGGCACGATGCGCAATCGCAGAGCTGAAAGACGGAAGAAATAATGATCCTTTTTTTCGTAATTGACGATTATCGTAACTCTGATAGCTGCACACAATCAACAGTAGTTTCAACGGTTTGGTTACTCTGTACTCTCTGTATTACTCTTTACTCAATCCAGGCCTTGTACGCGCGAGCCAACTGAGAATCGTTTGGAACGGCCTTGTTTTCACAATAGCAAGCGAGCAACCATGGCGGACTCAAGATACTCATCCGTCGCTGAGACGAAACAAATCTTGGATCTCGTCCTGAGTTCCGTCCAGATACCAGCAGAGGCAGAAAAGATCTCAAAGGCTGTGCAGTTTTCGGCGACTCGCGACTTGCCCTATTTCCCGATTCCTTTCAAAGAAACGGAGTTGGCCTCAGCTCTGAAGGCTATTGAAGGTGGTGTAGCAGGGGCCCTTGCAGCCACCAAGGATGGCGTCGCCTCCGGCAAGAAGGTGTCTGTGAGCTTGGAGAAGAGCACCGCGTTCCTGATTCAGGCGTATTTGGCAACTGTTGGAGGATATGGCAAACTCGATAAAGAAGTGAAGCAGTTTTTAAAAGGTGAGTTATGTTGTTGCAATTTTGAAAGCAACATCAAGTTTTCTGACTTGTGCCCTTAGATACGGATTTGCTTCAGGCACAGTCAGATCCTTATCGCCGCATGTCGGCGAATTTGTATGAGACAAAGCAGCCGGGCCAGTACTACCACATTCATGGATCTCTGGAAGCATCGACAACGCTCGGTATGATCGGCCTCGAGCCGTTCAGGCCAGACTTGAAAGATCATAGTGCTATTGTTGAGGCGATAGAGTCTCATGTGAAGCAATTTTCGGTCGATGAACTTGAGCGGATGAACGCCGATAAGCGCCAAGCTGGAGTGCCTGTTCTCAAGCATGAGGATTTTATCAAGACGCCTCATGTAAGTCTCGCTTGTTGAGTTTGCGATATCACTGCTGATCAGCTTACAGGGCAAAACTAACACCACACTTCCTCCGTGGAGCGTGGACAATCTTGAGACTTCAACACCACCATCACCTTTGCCGACTACATCTGACAAGCGGGTACTGTCGGGTATCAAAGTGCTCGAGCTGTGCCGCATCATCGCAGGGCCCGTCATAGGACGCATCCTCGCAGAGTACGGCGCAGACGTTCTGAAGATTACCAGCCCGAACCTAAGCGATGTCCCGTTCTTCCAAGTAGATGGCAACATGGGCAAGCATGCCGCGGATCTCGACCTTAAGACTGAGGAGGGGAGAAAGCACTTTGAGACGCTGCTGGCCGAGGCGGATGTTGTGCTGGATGGCTACCGCCCTGGTGCCCTAGAGAAGCTGGGGTACGGTGCTACTGCCCTCACAAAGCTGGCCAAGGAGCGCGGAAAGGGGTTCGTGTACGTGAATGAAAACTGCTTTGGATACCAAGGGGAGTGGTGCCAGCGGCCCGGCTGGCAGCAGATTGCCGATTGTGTAAGTCAACACATTTCTATTTTGAGACTGCAAATCGCTGACTGGGTTATAGGTGAGTGGCGTGGCGTGGGCGCAGGGTCAGTTCATGGGGCTTGATGAGCCCGTTGTCCCTCCGTTCCCCATTTCCGACTATGGAACGGGATGCATGGGCGCCATCGCCGCTCTCACGGGTCTCTATAACAGAGCGACGAAGGGTGGTTCATGGCACGGCAAGGCATCGCTGTTGCAGTATGATCTCCTGCTTATTAAGGCCGGAAAATACCCAGAGGATGTCCAGGAGAAACTGCGCAAGCTCGCGGGCGACGATTTCCTTGCGTTGCGGCACAGTCACAGCGTCGATCAGATTTCTGGCACGGCGCTCAAGGCAATGAAGGGGTATGCGCCAGAACTGTTCAGCTCACCCAACGTTCGCGAGAAGTGGTACGCGAGGCGCTACAAGGCAGAGGTTGAGGCTGTGAGCCCCGTGGTTGAGATTGAGGGCGTTGAGATTGGGTTCAAGAGGGCTAGCAGGCCGAACGGCTCAGATGAGGCGAGCTGGGATTTTGGCCCAGAGGAGGATCACCGCATTGTTGCGCAGACAAATGGGGTTAAGAAGGCGTGAATCAATGTCAAAATAGAATAAAACCTCATCTAGACTTTTGAATAATGAGTTTCAGTGACCATCAAAGTTGCCCCAAACTCTCAAGCTGTTCGTAGTACGCTCGTTACAAAGCTGAACCACGCGAACTGGCCCATGGATCCAGCGCTTTAAGACTGTGAAGTTGGGCTTCGCGTACACATCGTGAGCGGCTGTGAACACTCATCTCACGTCTACTATCACGAGATATTACTGAATGATAGATATGATGACCATCGTATCATTGGAGTAAATCCGCACGGATTTAGGGGTACAGCAGAGTCACATCTCACAGCCCGAAGCCGAAGCCAATGATCCTTCCCGCGCGCGTGACTCCGCCAAAACGAAGCCTGGAGCCATCAAACTGCGGGGTCCCCGGGGCAAGCCGACCGGAATAGGTCCATAATGAGTGCAAATATGGCATGTCCTTTGTTCTATCAGTATGTTTGTGAGTCTCGGCAGACACACCCCTCGCGTCGGATCTCTCCCCCGTACCCGAAAAGAGAGTTGCGTGTGTTTCCCGGACCCGGGGGGCGGTTTCCGGGAGGGTAGAAGCCCAGCGCCGGTGGTACCCGCCCAGCAACAGCGCACGTGCAATTACAAAGCAATGGCGGGTAATGCACGCGCTGTGATTGGGAATAAGTATCCTCCATCGAACTGCGGGACGCTTTTGGCAGTCGTGGTAGTTGAAGTTAGCTCATCTTTCAAGATCACGTCGTCTCACCGAGAAAAGCATTATCTACATCATCAGCGATACTCCCTAGAGTTGACCAGAAACTCATCATACAACACACATTCACGTCTCTTCACCATGGGCTCATTACAGAACGGAGACGGCCAGTACCAAGGCCTCGGCCAGGACTTCACCAAGCAGGTCATCGCCTCCATGGGATCGGAGACGAACCCCAGACTCCGTGAGATTCTCACTTCATTCATCCAGCACATCCACGACTTTGCTCGCGAGGTCGATCTTACGACAGATGAGTGGATGATGGGTGTCAACATGATTAACTGGGCGGGCCAAATGTCAAATGATCGACGCAACGAGGGCCAGCTGCTTTGCGATGTTCTCGGACTCGAATCGTGAGTTTTCATGATGAACGACGCAAATCATGATGAGACTAATAAGACTTGCAGGCTCGTCGACGACATCACCAACAGAGTGGCCACAAAGAACGGCCAGCCAGGCACAGCAACAGCCATTCTCGGCCCCTTTTGGCGGGCCGACACCCCTGTCCGCCCCAACGGCAGCACAATCGCCGTGAAGTGCCCCGAGGACGGCGAGCTTGCTTTCATGTACGGCCAAGTGACGTGCTCCAACACCGGAAAACCGTTGGCGAATGCTTCAGTCGATGTCTGGCAAGCATCCACAAACGGTAAGTTTTGAAGATCAGGCTAAGCTTTTTGCACATGTCGTCTAATGTTCCACCACAGGTCTGTACGAGCAGCAAGATGCCGATCAGCCCGAGCACAACCTCCGCGGAGTCTTCAAGACGGATGCGGAGGGACGTTATGGATTTTACTGCCTGCGACCCACGCCCTACCCAGTGAGTCTTCTCGGGATGTATTGATGAAGTTGTTCTTGGTTATTGACCACACCTCTCAGGTACCGGGTGATGGCCCCGCTGGAAAGCTTTTGGACCTACTTCACCGCCACCACTTCAGACCTGCTCACATTCATCTCATCGTAAGTGACCAGCTCGAATGCGCACATCCCAACGCAGGTACTAACAACTCTCCAGGTCAAATCAGAAGGCTTCAAGTCGGTAACAACACAAATCTTTGACGAGGACTCAAAGTACTTGGATGACGACTCTGTGTTTGCGGTGAAGGATGGTCTGACTGTGAAGTTTGTTGAGAGAAAAGGGGACCCCAAGGCTGCCAAGGAGCTCGAGTACAACATCAAGTTGGCTGCCGAGTAAGCTGGAGAGGAGACTGGATCTTGTTCATTAATTGTTATGGCAGGCTGAAGCATGAATACCAGGGAAAATGCCTTTGCTGAAGTCTGCTCCGCATTCGTGGGGATCGGCAATCCAACCGTTGTGTTCAACTCATTAAGCGATCAGCTAGAATTAGAGGACTGCGGAGACTGCAATCGCTGAGGACGATCTCCGGATGCCTTACGCCTAGTCCGCCGTAAGCAGTTAATTCTTTTGCCTCAAGTTGCCGCATCATGGGTGGCCTTTCCTGGCAGTACTTGCACCGCTCTTGATAGCTTGTCGGATACTACCAATGCTGCGCCGATCTATGAGCCTCAGTTCATTGATCTCAAAGCTGTATCATCTCCTTTATGGAGCCACTATATAAACGTGGGGCAGCAAGGAGACATCTTGCCGAGGGGGATAACATTATCAACAATTTCCATGATGCCAAGTGGATGTTGACCGTTTCAACGCAGTCGCTGCTCTAGGACAACTGTCCCATTAAGCGCACAATAACGTCGGATACATGCCCCCATATTTTCTCTTATTTACCGTCCTTCTTGAATTCGTGTGTGATGGGAATGGCGGGAATAGGGCTATATCATCTTACTGCTAGCTACTTATTACTATGATGAATGGTGTACCGACGTCAACTCGTGCTCAATGGGATACATGTGGCAGCAAGCTTAACTTATCGCTACTGTCAAGTTACGTGCCTACTTCGTTCCTAATCTTGAAAATAATAGATGTTATTAACTATATAAAATAACTATATATATATTTATAAAAAAGCCTTTATAATTTAATAAACTAATTTAGAATATTAATGTTTTATATATTTATTATATATAAATTAAATAGTTTTAAGCTTTTATAAGCTATATTTAAATTTTCGAACTTTAATTTCTTAATAAATCGAATATTATACTCTTTTTATTATACTTATATAATTATAAATCCGAAAATTACTAAAGTATTATAAATTATAAAAATTAAATAAATAGTACTATAGCTTAGATAATATAATAAACTATATAGCCCTTTACTTTTTTAAGATCGTAAACTATATTGAGCGAAAGATTATCGTTATCGAGGAGTAAATAGGTATATATAATCGTATATAGTATAAGTGAGTCAAGCCTATATAGCTAGCTAGCTTAAAGTAGAATGAGTTGGGGCTAAGTTATTTAAGGTATTGCCTCTTACGATAATATACATAGCATTGATTAATATATCTACTATCCTTAACATCTCTATTCTTATCAAATCTATCCTTAGCATCTCTGTCCTTAGCAACTCTGCCCTTAGTATCTCTGCGCTTAGTGTCCTTGTACTTTTTACCTCTGTCTTTTTACTACTTTTCTTATAAAGTATTCTACTATGTATAATTGGTAGACTATGAATGGCGCAGGGGACCTCTTTTAATTATTTATAATAGTATTCTTTTAGTAGGCGTTTCTTTTGCTTCTAATAAGAAAACGCATCCATATCCTCGTCGTCAGACTCGTAAAGCTTCGGGTCTGCGGCAGCTGTGAGCGAGAATGCCGTGAGAAGGTTGGCCTGCAGTTGCAACAGATCGTAGCTGGGCAGGTCGGCTTCGCGATCGGCGTAGACCTTGATAAGCTGTCCGTCGACCACAAGTTCCCAAGGCTCTAATCTCGTTGCCCCAAGTGTCTTGTGATCTATGGGCTGGAACGCGTCACGGGGATTGCAGTTGAAGTCGGCACGATCCGTCATGTGGACACCTGTCTTTCGAAGCCAATGAAAAGTCATTTCCTGACACCATCGGAATCTCTCGGCAGGCTGTTTTTCTGCGCGACGTGTGCTCATAGAGTGACGAGGATTCGACTGATTGGCAGTCTTGAGGTCCGTCGCAACGCCGTCGTCTCCCACAGGCTCCTTGTATGGTGGTCCTCTTGGCTTAAGCATGAACCTGCCGTCTGCCCACCACTTATGCAGGTGGGGGTTTAGGCAGACCATGTTGGCCGGCTCATCAATGATATTATCGTCGTCTTCTTCGCACAGGATTCTCTGAGCTTTGATCACTGCTTCCTTGCCAAACCAGGCTTGCATTGCATCAAGCAAGGGCCACAACGCTTCTTCGCAGTTCAACAAACCAAAGGGAATGATATGGCAGACTTGAGGTGTTTCCATATTTGTGACAATACATCGTTCGTTGTCGCGCTTGAGTGCCTGCAGGGAAATAAAGTCAGTGATGGCTCGCACCTAGTCCTGTGTCACATTCAATACTCACTTCGGCAGATTTTGCTTTGTTGTGCGTATTCTTGGGGGTCTTCTGGGGCGTCTCCTTGGCCGTCTTCTTGGGTATTTTTTGCGGCGTCGCCAACGGTTCAGACGTTGAAGCTGGGCGTTTTCTTGTCGCAGTTGATGCAGTGTCGCCCGGCGTCCCTTCACCAAGCTGTGCCCCGCCGGAATCCTTCTCCTGGTCTTTCCCTTTCGTGACTGAGAATCTAATCAGTTTTTGTGGATCAAATTGGAGTGAGAAGATCATACACATTCTGAGCAATTTTGGATACTTGGCTGCTGCATCGTCAAGAGCTTTAAGGTACTCTTGAAGCTTTCGCACCTTGCGCTTCTCGGACCGGATTGCTTCAAACCTTGCTTCAATGTCCTTTAAAGAGTGAACCTCTAGAGCCCAAAGGCCGCTCCAAAAACGAGCTGTATCGAGATTCTTGTGATGATTGGGTTGCGGCAATGACTCGTAAATCTTTTTGATGAGAGGTAGCTTCTGTTCCAGATCTCCGAGGTAATGAGTGTGCTGAACATGCTCTGTTTCGGACGTCAGGAACGACTCGAGTTTGTCAAGTTGTTCGATGGTAGGTCGCGTCCTGGGATTTTTTCGGCTCAAGTATGCGTGCAACAATGGCGTAAACTTGGCTTTCCATTTCTCGGTCTCTCTGTCCTCATTCGCCATGTTTCCTTCGCTGCTAAATTGTCAGAAATGTGCCCACGCATTCCACGAAGGGGGGACTTACTGATGGCGCAAGACCAAATACTTCTCTGTATTTCTCGCTGTGCCCCTCCGACTTCACCACCTACTATCCTAACCAGATCCCCGCCTTGGTCGTACCGATACGAACCCCTTTGAGTTCACCTCGTTTCTCAGAGAAAACTATTGCCAGGGCTTAGTCGTAGTCGAGGACTAACGTCTAAATCCTCTGAGTCCGGTTTGGCAAAAAACGAAGGAATCCGATATCTGTAGACTGTTAGCTTCACAATTTTGTAGATACTCTTAGACCCGAACTTGACGACGTGGAAGCGATCGAAAATTTCGGTAACCGGTGTGCGTTGGAGAGATCAAGAGGAAAAGAAAGACTCGAGGCGAAGTCCAGCTGGGTAAGGTGAAGTGGTCGAGTGGGCTTTCACCGACATGGTCCCACAATACCTTATTTTGACTAGCGGGACACGGGACGAATCAGAGGCCTTGGTCGTACCCACATTAGCCCCCAGGGTACGTGCCCACTGCCGGCAACTACCTCACGCACTTGAGCGCCAGCGTCGGCGTGCTGCCCGTCGAGGCCACAGGGAGCCTGAGCCGGAACCTCACCACCTCCGGCACATAAGACCGCACCTTCTCCGCCTTGCCCTTCTATCCACCCTACTAATTACTCCATCTCCCGCACAATTCTAAATCCCTAACATACCTCACCTGAGGCAGTGAGGAACAACCTATAATCACGTGAGTCTATGGTGCGGACCTGGTGGTAAAAGCGATGATAAGCTGCGGGCACTGTTTGCTCTGAATGCTTACTCGTGCTCTACTATGAGCCCGGCACGCCCGGCTACCTTATTTTGACTATGTGCCACTGTTAGCTGCTGGCGAGTGCACTTATGTAATCGCGCCTCGTCGACTCGCAACTTGACGGTCGCAAAACATGTTTTCCACGGGCGAAGTCGACGATTTCTCACGGTCGCAATCACCAGGGTGTGGTTGACGGTTTCCTAAATACATGTATGGTTGTAATGCTAACCAATCTCGGGGGCCAGGTTTCGGCAAGACGACTGAAAGATTATCCTCATCACTAAGAAGTTTATTGCGAAATCTAGCCAGCCTCTGTACTTCCGAGCCAGTGACTAGGTATCAAATTTTTAGAGGTTTCTGCGTGAGTGCATGACCCGATGCCATCAAGGCACAAACTGTCCCCCTCTGAGGGTAATCGAGGAGGATGGCTTCTGGATGGACCCGACGCACGATGAATGTATCTTATCCAGCGACGGATTGTTCCGCGGTAACTGATGGTGGCATGAATAATGCACCGTGGCCAGCGACATTCAGCAAGAGATAACCGTTCTCTTTTTTCTTTATTTTTCTTCTTTTAAATTGATATAGTATCAGGCGGAACCCTATCTGTCTGAAGGGTGTCGCACTCAGGTCATCTTTGCATGCCAACCGCGTTCTCTATGTACCTCACGCACCTGAGCGCCAGCGACGGCGTGCTTCCCGTCGAGGCCGCAGCGGGGAACCTAAGCAGTTTATGGGACGCCTCCTTAAAATTTTGAGTCCACTTCTGGCGACGAAATCGGATCGCAATCTGAAGATTATGAAACTGATGGTATATGCCCTATTTTTTCGAGTCGCGATATCAATGTTGGTGCCACTGTCATTAACGTCGCTTGCTACCAGAATGGGACCTGACAAGCCGTCCATGATGACGCACTTCTCGGTAACGGAACGGGCATAAGGCAATGCTTCGGCAGGCTTGTCTTCGCCAGACTTGCCCTTGGCACCCTTGGTCTTTTTGGAAGGCATGTTGACCAAACCGCGCGGCGGAAATCTCGCCGCAGGAGAAGTTAGCACCTCAATACACAAGCGTCAATTGCACAGACCATGTTTCACTCTGTGCCTCGTGGCTCAGTCCTTTTCTATATTTCCCCATAGCGTATTTTCTTGTATATAATATATAAACTTTAATAACTATAATCTTAGGGTAATAATACAGACGATTTCTCTTTATTATGTACTAAAATAATTAGTATTAAGAAGACGTTCTATGGTTGATATCGCGCACTACTATCCCAGCTGCATTCGCATCCGCTCGACTTTCGAAGCTCACGACGTTGGGTCGACTGCCGGGCTCATGACGGGGCGGAAACGATACGGAAATAACGGTTTCTGACTGACCACGAGGGTGGGGCTTGAGAATCTGGATTGAGGACGCAGTGGGCGCGCAGCTTGACAGCAGCGATAAGTTGAGCTTCCAGCCTAACGAAGTAGTCAAGGTATTCTCGCGTTCAGGATTGTGGACGAAGTAAGCGCGCAGCTTGACAGGCATACCTAGCCTAAAAGGGCTCTCATGCTGGGAGCTGCTGCCATCGCCAGGTGGTCTTTAAGCCTCTCATGGCTCTCTGCTTGCAACATCAACAGGGCGCGTAGCTCATTGGTAGAGCGTCTCGTTCCTGGTGGTGGCCTATGTCCCTGCCAAATGTAGTTACAAAAGCCACGGAACGAGAAGGAGCGGGCTCAATTCCCGCCTCGCCCACTTATATTTTTTATCTTTCTCCATAGTTCAGAAGCGTTATCATTACTCTGTCGGGTGGATTCGCGATTGTTTATAACAGCCAGTGGTATGATGCCAATGCCAACAACACAATTGAAGATACTAACATGTCTTTGCGTAGGAACACCACTCGCTTTCGGAGCCGTTGATCGAGGTAGTCAATATGTACATCAGCCTAGTGCATCGATTGCCCGTGAATTGTGATTCTAGGATGTGATTCAGTGCCAAACTCACGTCTGTTCCCTATCTGTCGTCTTGGTTCCAACGCGGTTGTATAGACACCCTGAGATCTAAACCTAGCTGCGTAGAGGCGATTGCGTAAAATTCGGGTGACCGATCTATGTTGAATAGATCAAGAGATTAACAAGAATTCGAGGTAAAGTCCAACTGCGTAAAGTGGTCGGGTGGTCTTTCTCCGAAATGGGCCCATAGGGAATATTACCATGGTAAGAGTGTGGCTAATTTTGATAAAACTATTAATTGTGGGTAAGTTCCAGATCTCTGATTGGCTCAACACGTCGGTAGTTAAGGTGGAGACCCGGGGCCCACCGTGCGGAAGCAGACCGCCTAACTTACCTACCTCAGCTTGGGTACCTTGGCTGAACTTCATCTCGAGTTATTCTTCCTTTTTTCTTTTCCTCTCTTCAACGCAGACCAGTCGCTCAAATTTTACGCGATCACCTCCACGCGTTGAATTCGGATTTCAGGGTGTTCATACAATCAGGAAGCTAACAGCCAACAGATTTCAAACTCTTTTGTGAAGCAAACCGGACTCAGAGATTTCAGGGGTTGATCTGGGATCACCTCTACTTTATTACCTAGTGATAGTCTTCTCTGAGCAACGAGGCGACTCCAAAGAGTTTGTGTCGGTACGGCCAAGGCGTGGATTTGGGTCGTAGATAGCAGGTGGTGAAGTTGGTGAGAGAGAAACATACGTTTCGCAATTGGTAAGTCATCTTTTTGGAAACAGTTCTCATGGCATCAGCTAATCTGGAGTGACACAAGGTCAACATGCCTCCCAAGAAGACCAAGGGTGCCAAGAGCGAGTCTGCCGAGGACAAGCCTGCCGAGGGCAAGTCACGATTCTACGCTCCGACCAGCCACGGGAAATGTGCCATCTTCTTGAGCGACCTGTTTGGTCCTATTCTGGCGTCGCATGGTCGCAACGACAGTGGCATATCGATCGGAGCTAGGATCCGCGTAGAAACCAATGACGGTTTCGACCCACACATCGCCCTCGTCTTGAAGTTCCCAGACGGCACAGATAACGAGGACAACGGTTCCGGTGTACGCTTCCACTGTGAGTATCCCATCACTGCCATTCGATATACACTACCACTAACACATTGGCCTGTCTAGACAAAAAGCAGGGGAACACATACGATCCTTCTTCGACTTTCGAGATTGGCATTCGATTTAATCGCCAGAAGTGGACTCAGAAGTTTGAGGAGGCTTCACCCGAACTGCTCAGCAAATTCCCTTCGCTGCAAGAGGGCCCCGGCACGACAATCATCACATTCTCATGCGACGTGGATGACAACGACAGAGTCTCGATCGAAGGCTTGGGTATGGCCTACATCAACAAGTTGGAGCCCGTCCTTGAGAAGTTTGTGAACGAGAACGGTTCTATTTATGGAGTCACTCTATCCGAGTTCATTCGCCGCAAAACCTTTCATGTTTTCATGATGAAAAAGGGTAAACCGAATGACATCCACAAGAACTTCGCCTTCGACAATCTGCCGCCACCCTTCGACTACCCTTACGGTGATGCCCACAACTTCGATCCCGAACGTGGCGCAGATTTTCTCGCCAAAAGCCCACGCAAGGCTGCATACCACTCCGTCCACAGGTATGGCTACAAATAGAATCGAGTGCCTTCATACAATACTAACATTATCATCAGTTTCAAAGACGCCAACTCCATGTTGACTGTCACAACGCAATCTCTACTGCAGAACGAGTTGTATGTGTGGCAGCAGGCTCAACTTGTCGCTGCTGTCAAGCTGCGCGCCTACTTCGTTCAAAATCCTGATCGCGAGAGTACCTACTTCGTCATTCTTCCTCTTCCCAAGGAGTTCATGGATCAGTTTGGGCATGCATGGAAGAGACTCTTGGACGAACAAGTTTCTCTGCTTGTATGGGAGAATGAGGACGACGACAAGCCCTCTGGGTCTTGGTAAGTTAACTCAGGGAACCCACCTCACTCTCATGTACTGACTATGTGTAGGCAGTGTAGCTTCAAATCGTACGCGAGCGGCATTCAGGCCCTCGAGCCTCACCCTCGTGGCAAGTCCGAGGCTGTGCTTGCCGTGGTGCGCCCGCCCCCTCAACATCCCGGCAGTCAATGCAGCATTGTGAGCTTCGAAAATCGAGCGGTTGCCAATGCGGCGGGGATGGCGCACTAGAGCTGCGTAGCCCTACACTTTTTTGGCATCTTGGACGATACCAAGCGCAAGATCATCGCCGTCGACAAGTGGAACAAGCCAAATTCCGAAAGTAGTCATCTCGCTCAACTCACAATGCGTGGGCAAGGCTACGCGGAGTGGATGATGCAGCCTGGTCCTGCAGTTGTAGGCGAAGGTGTGACCGGTCTCACTGAGGCCGTGGCGTCCACCACAATCATCGGAAACCCCCCTTCTCTCCGTCGCCTGCCCAAGGTCTCATTTTTGCCCAGAAAGAATGACCGCTACGAGGAGGCTCTGACGAGCATAAGCCTGGAGGAGGATCGAAAACGGTGGCCCTCGTTTTGCCGCCAGGTTCTACTAGGAATCGCTATCATTACAGGAGTAGGTTATATTCCCTGTTCCGCCCAAAGAAAGAAAAACTAACTGTATCATAGGGCCCGGGTTATAGTAAGACTACTGAAATGGCAAAGACTATACTTACTATAGAGTATAGTCTCGGTCCTATTTTCTATACGGCGCCTACTAATATAGCTATTACTAACTTTACAATCCGTATCAATAAAATAACCCGTTAAGTCTACTTATAATATAATAATAATTTTCCTAAAAGTACGCCGCAAGCTCGCTATCAAATAGTACTACGTAGATATAAGCGAGATTACGAGCTTTCCGCGTTTAAAACTCTATTAAAAAACCCTTATTTTAAAAATATAGCTACCCCTCGCTATTATAATCGCGCAGCGCCCTAGTACTTCGAGTTATCTATAGCTTTTTAGCTCTTAGTACTTTTACGTTCCCCTACTATCCGAGACCTCTACTATTAATATTACTATTATAGGGTAGTTAGTTCGAACCGTAAGTTAATAAAAAGATTAATTAAACTATATAAATTTTTACGTAAGTATAAAAAAGAGGTTCTAACTATAAGTTAGGCTAGCTATAATAATTATAAATATGGCCCTTTAATTAGCCCCTACGTAGTTAGCTATATACTACGATTAAATTAAACTTCTAATCTAATACTAACTTTCTCTTTTTTTTATTAATTTACTTATTATAATTAAAAATATAATTCGACCTCGGGCCCGTTTACTAAGTTATCTCCTTTTTCCCCTTTTCTCTACTCTTTTTATATAACTTATCCCTCTATTTATATATTAACCTTTTTACTATTTATAAATTACTCTAATTCCTTATTAAATACTATTTTTATAAAAGCGTTAGCAAGGTTATTATTTCTATTAATTTAATATATTTTAAGGATTTTACGTTTTTTATATAATTATTTAAAAGCTATAATATTAATTATAAGCCTCTTTTCTTTTATTATTCTTAATTTAATAAGGTATTTATATAATAAATAAGAATTAATATAGACAACCGTTAGGATTAGTAAAAAGTTAAGTTAATTAATAATCCTCCTTAGTATTGTTAAAATTATATAAGTAAAATTAACGCTATTAACTATATTATAAACTTTTAACGTTAAAATATTTCTTATTACCCGCTTATTTTTAATTAATAAGTAATAAACTATATTACTATATATAATAAATTCGCTTTTACTTATACTCTTATTAACTAAAATAATAATATACTTTAATTACAAAATAAGGTCGTCGTTATTTATAAATAACTTATTAATAAAAACGTAGAGTTTATTAATAACGAGGTTAATTAGATAATAAACGAAGCCTTAATTAAGATTTATTTACTATTATTTAAACTACTTATTAAGTATTTTAACGTTTTATTTATTTAGTTCTATAACTTATACTACTCTAATATAATTAAAAATTATTTCGGGCTAATATATACTTATAATATATACCCCTCGCGCGAGCTTAGCTTTATATTACTTTTTAATATTAATTATGTTTAAGTTAATAAAGGTAATTTTTTTACCCTACCCCTTTTATTAAAAAACAACGGTTTCCTTTTTAATTATAAAAATTCTATTATTAAATATTAATAAGTTATTTATTATAAAGACCTCTTTTAGCTTTACTATAAAGCCCACTTTTTAAAGCTCCTTATCCTCTTTTTTTATAAAGTTAATATTAAATAGGCCTAATATATTATTAGTTTATATTCTAATAATTCTAAATTATTCGCTTTTTTATTTAGAAACTAATAAGTACGGGTCGTACGTAAATATAACTATTAATAATTAATTAATATAAAAATTGTAGTATATAGCTTATTAATAAATACCCGATTTTATAAGCCTATATAGTAGTTTAAGTACTTTAATAATCGTACTTTCTAAGTACTTACTAGCTATTTCTTTTAATAAATAGGCTAGGATTTTCTTTATAAGCCCTATAGCTAATTAAGTATAGGCCTAAGTAATATTATAGCTCTAAATTTCGTATCTTTTTTTTTATAATAATACTATTAATACTATTATTAATTATTAACTATAGTACTATACTATAAGTAATTAAATAAGTAGCGTTACCTTTTTAACATTATTATATTCCTAAATTATATACCTAAATTTCTTATATAGTTAAAGTATTTCTTTTTTTTTAATTTTACGTACTATCCGCAATTTAAATATATAAAGACTTTTATATTTCTTAGGGTCGTAGAAAATAAATTAATAAACCCTTCGATCGCGCAAAGTATTTACTTTAATAAAATCTAATCCCTTATATAGCTTTTTAATAGTTATAATAATACCTTCTTTACGTAGTTTAATTATTAATTTAAAATTAGCTTTTTTTTTATTATATAAAAAGTATTAATTACCTCGTCGCTAATAATAAATTATTACGTTAGGGCTTATCGTTATAATTTTTTATAACGTCTTACTAATAATATTAGTACCCTTTTAATAATTTCCTTTTCCTCGTTATCTATTAGTACTACTATAATAATTTCGTTAAGAATAATTTCCTATACCTTTATAACTAGTTATATAGTTTTCCCTAACTCTTCTTTTTTTTATAAACTAGAAATTACTTTAATAAGATTTATATAATATAGTTTAATTACGGTAATTAATACTTTAAATAGCTAGTTACGATCTCTCGTAATTATATAAGAGCGCTCGTTAATAAAAATTAATTTATATAGCCTAGCCTATTACTAAGTAATTTTATATTAAACTTATATATCCAAATTTAAAAATATATTTATATTAACCCTTATATTAAGCCTATTACGCATAGTAATTACCTTATTAACTTACTTTTTTATATTTATTTTACGTAGTACCCGTATTATTTTTTTAATTACTTAGGCTCGTTAGCTTATATTTAATAATAGTAACGAGGCTAAAGTCGTCCTTAAGTATACTCTAAATATTAATAGCGTTAGTATAAAACCGTTAAGTCCTATAGTATTGTTATAGTATTTAAGTACTATTTAAAAGTATTTATTGTTAATAAAATTGGGATTTTCCTTTTTAATAATCCTAAACGCCCTTTTTAACTATTAGTATACCCTTTTTATTTTTTTAATATTATAGTACGCTTTTATAAGTACGACTTTTAGTTATATATTATAAATTATTATATTTTCTCTAAATTTTATTAATTTAAAACTCGTATTAGCGTCGGTTTTAATACTATTTAGCGGTCCTTAATATATATTAATCTAGCTTTTTCGTAGGGCTACTTATACTATTTTTATTTAGAAATCCTAGAGGAATTACCCTATTTAAAATAATATAGCCTCGTTAATTATATATAGGACCGGTCGACTATTTAAATAGAAAATATTAATAACGATTTCCTAATTAAAGTTAAGCTTATTACGTAATTTAAATTTAAATTTACGTAGGCTTTACGTATTTATTTAGTATTAGTAATATATTTTCGTTAATTACTTTAGCGCCCTTATTTCAATATCCTTATTACTTAATTATTTTAAGAGGTTATATAATCTTGTAACTAATAGGTACCCGAATTTTTAGTATAATTATTTAAACTTATTTTTTATTAAATAATTAATTAACTTTATATTATTAATAAGCTTTATAAACGCGTACCCCTATTATTGTTTAACTATTTTAAAGTACTTATTACTAAAGATTTTATTCCTTATATTATTAAATATAATACCTAGTTAATCTATATTTTTTAAATATAAGAAAAATAGGGTATTAATAAATAGAATATAAAAAGTTATTATTCCGAAGTACGTCTTTATTTTTATTATACCTAGGGTAACGATTTCTTTACCTAGGTTAAAATTAATTCTTATAATACTTACTATTAACGTATTAAACGTTACTAACGCAATTTTTTATAGCGCTTAAAATTACCCCTTTCCTTTTATTAATTATTATAATACTTTAGTATTTAGGATAATTTTATAAAAATTATCTAGGCCGTACTTTTTATTCGTATAAAATACTTATACGAGCTTAGCTTTTAAATAATCTAAGTAATATAAAAAGGACCCCTCTAACTACCCCTAGAATTACTTAATATTATTTTTCTTTTTTAATATTAATAAAAGTAATATCTTCTTTTTAAATATTAAGAAAATAAAATTTTACGCTATTAAATTCGTCCTTTTATTTACCTCTATATCCGTTATCTAAGGGACTTTCCCTTATTATTTATAAATAAAAGCTTACTTATTAAGAGCTTTTACTACTTTTTATTCGTTTAGCCTCGTATATTTTTTAAAAATTAATAATATAAAGAATAAGTAGTTAATATTATTAATTTTATTATAATCTAATTTATTAATATAAGGGGTAAGATTTTTTTTATTTTCTAAATTTCTTAGGGGGGGTAAATATTTTAAGCCGCTACTTTAATTACTATTATTAAGTTCCGTATCCCTAGATTTACTTTTATATATAATAAGGAATTAGCTAAATTAATAAGGGCTAGTTTTACTATTTATTACTCTTAACTTTTTATACTATTTATATAATTTAATACGCTCTTTTTTAAAGTAGTTACTTAATTAATATCTATCCTTTTTATAAATAAAATATTATTTTTTTTATTACCCTATTTATAAATTAAATCTTTACTTATTTAATAAATTTAGGCCTCCTTATTAATAATTACCGTACTTAGTCTTTTTTTTTTTCTTATTATATATCCGGTTAATTTAATATTATTAATAAGGGCCGTTATATTTTTAAAAATAGGTTTAGCGTAGTATTTTTATTTTAATATTAAAACTAAATCTTAGTTTTAAATAAAGCGTTTCGTAATTTTTAGGTACTTAGTATAAAGTTATTTTTATTTTTAATACGTACTAAATTATAGTATAAAAATATTTAACTTTTTACTTATTAATCCTCTTATTTAGCTAAGTTTTTACTAACTTATTAATTTAATTAATAAGCTTTTTTAAGATTTTTATTCGTAATTTTCCCTCTATTATTCTAATTATAAATATAAAAAAAATTATTTATAACTTAGATAGGAGCTCTAAATTCTTATTATAAGTCTCGAAGCGGCTTTAGATTATATTAATAATATTAAAAAAGTCGTTCTAATTAAAATTACGTACTACTTTATAATAATAATTAAAGGTTTTATTTACGAGTACGATATTAATTACTAAATAATATTAGTATTCCCTAATCTTAACTTTTTTATAATAGTTATAAAATATCGTTAGGGTTTTTTATAAGACCTTGTACTTCTCTTTAAAATATAATTTCTTTTTTAAGAAGATTTTTTTAAAGTTTATAAATTACCTCGTATTTATTATTATATTTTTAGTATTTATATACGATTTTTATATTACTACGTATTATTAATAACTTCGGGTTATTTATCTCTTTTTTTATTAGCTAATTAGTACCGAATTTCGTATTAATAATAGTAATAAGTTATAAATCGAAATAAATAGAATTATTAATTATTATACGTCTAGTATTATATTTTACTTTTATATATCTTTTTATAATAATAAATTATTATTAGTAATTATAAAAAGGAAATTTAGGTTATTTACCCTTTTTTTAAATTTATTAAAGTAATTATACGCTTTATTAACTTATACCTAGTTCTATAATACGAATTCCTTTTTTATAATCGTTATTACTAAGATTTTATATAGTTCTTATAATTATAATTACGTTAGTAATACCCCTCGCTTATAGAAGAATTTATTAACTATTTTTATAATTCCTAGGCTTGCGCTCGCGAACTATTTATTTAATTAATAATTAAAGTTATTTATAATTTTATAAAATAGGGGTTATTTTTATAGCTCTTTTTTTTTATAAACCTTAGTTAAGTAGATTAATATTACGTTAATTTACTTATTATTAAGCTAATTTATAATCCTATATATTTACGTCCCCTAATAATTTAGATTAATATTTACTTACTTATAAAAAATTAGGATTCTATTTAGGATCGGGTTTTTTTTTTATTTTTTTTATTTTAATTTACTAAGGGTTATGCTCTAGTTTATACCCATATTAATAATTATTAACGTATTTAATTTTAATAAAAATATATTTAATTTGCGCACTAGTTATAATAAATCCGTACTTTTATTACTTAATAAATTTATTAAAGTCTAGGTAATTCTTATTTCTTTTTACTATTTTATTACTACTCTCGTTTTTATTATTTTTAGTAATTATTACTACCTTTTTAAATCGCTAGTTATTATACTTATTAAGATCTTTTTCTTTACTTAGTATAAAAAAATAGGCTTTAGTAGCTCCTTTTTTAATAATAATAATAAACGTTTATATTATTATAAGAAGACGTAATAATTAGTCTTAGGATTTTTATTAGTTATTAATTTTTACTATTTTTTATATTTTTAACTTCTTAAGCCTCGTACTCTTTATAATTTTTAAATTACTTTTTTCTTTAACCTATTTTTTTTAAAATAGTATTTTAAAAAAATAGTTAAAAATAAATACTAAGTAGCTTATAAAAGAGCTAAATAGGTTATTAAGAGCTAAATAAGTTATTAAGTATAGTTAGTAAAGTTAAGCTCTCCTTTTTATAAAATCGAGGACTTAAAAAACTTATTAAAAATATTTATTACTTCGTCGCTCGTACTAAGTAAGGTTAATTATTTTAAAAATCTTTTTTTTTATAGCTCCTTAGTACCCTATTTTATATCTTTTAAATAGTTTTTTTTTTATAATTTAATTATTATTAAGTAATTATTACTTATTAATAATCCCTTTTATTATTTAATTAATTTTTCGAAACTAATAATTTTATACTAAGAGCTTAGTATAAAAAAAGAGCTCTTTAATAACTTTTTAAAAAATTCTTTTTTTTTCTTTTTAAAGCCGTATTTTCTTAACCTTTTTTTAAACTAATTATAATTTTAATAAAAAGTTATAAAACTATTTTAAAATAACCGCTTTTTTTTTAAGTTAATTTTTAAAATCCGTAATATTCTTAACTCGATATTATTAAAACCTCTAAATCTCCTCCTCCTTTATTAAACCGTCCTTTATATTATATTCTTAAGTAATACTTAGGAAGTAGTTAAGGGGGCTATAAAAAAATTATTTAAATCGTAAGTTTTAAAATTATATTTATAAGATCTTCGTAATATTAAGCTTTTTTATATACTATAAATCTCTTAACTTAATAACTCCTATATAGTTTTTTATTATGCTTATTAAAAATATTTATATTTAAAAATCCCTTTTTTTAATCGTATAGTACTTTTTTATATTATACTACTAAACTCGTCCGTTATACTAATTAATTAAGTAAGTAGCTACTACGTAAGTATTTTTTTTTTATTAATTTAACTAGTTAATTTTTAATTACGGGCTAACTATAAAAAAGTTATTTAATAAAAAAACTACTTAAATTAATAATAAAAGACTAATTACTTAAGTAGTTCTATTAATTAACGTAATTTAATATAATAAACGTTAACCTCTTATAAATAATAAAGGGCTACAATTACTTAATTCCGTATAGTATTTAAAAATTACCTCTTTTTTTATTTATTTTTATAAAATTACTTAGTATAAATCTCTTATCTTATATAATATTAAAAAGTCGTCTTTTTTATATAGTAAGATACTTTACTAATCTACGATAATAAAATTTAATTACTAATTAGTATTAGTATTATTATTATAAGGTAGTTAGTTCGAACTATAAGTTAATAAAAAGATTAATTAAACTATATAAATTTTTATATAGGTATAAAAAGGAGGTTCTAACTATAAGTTAGGCTAGTTATAATAATCGTAAATAGGGCCCCCTAATTGGCCCCTGCGCAGTTGGCCGTATACTACGGTCGAATTAGATTTCTAATTTAATATTTATAAAAATAATAAGGAGGCGTTATACTAGCTTTAACGCGATATCAATACTAAATAGGACTGGGCTAGACTTCGAGCTATAGCTACTAGTAATATTACTTAGGATAAGTATTCCAACGCGTCTCCATCCTATAATTAGATCTTATCCACCGTTATAGATTAACTTATTATTATAGTAAATATCCTAGTTACTACGCCTTCCCTGTGCGTCTTTGTTAAAGAGATGTATAATCGTTAGTGGCTGAAAGCGCAAGCTGTAGCTATTGATGAGGCGGTAAATATAGACCGTGGTGACCTAGCGACCGCTTGGGGCAACAAGATGCTGCCTCTTCTGTGTGGCGGAGATACGGAGTAGCTCCCACCTACTGTGCTGACTGATGATCACTGTCTCGACGCTTCTGGCAACGTTTATAACCAGTTCTCAAACGACGGACACGTCTCAGCCCAGGGCTTCTTGATGGCATCCGGATATTTGGTCCACCGTATGCGCCTTCAACTTCGTATGGCCAACGGTCTTTTCGACATCGTCGGCAAAGTCATCTATCCATCCATCCCAGTGAGATACGCGCCCAGCTGCAACATCGACTTACCGGAGTTCGAAATTGGCCATCGTCTGGAGAGCTTCTTCAGGGAGCGCTTCACGGAATTAGTCGCCCCCGCGGAGGGCAAGTTCGCGCCAATTTTCGTGCACTGCCCTGATACAGTCGTGAAAGTCGATTACGTCAACGGCGGTAAACGTTCCCGCGATCAAGTTCAAACCGCCCTCAACATGGTATCTGAACTTGTCAAGGAGAAGTCCATTGACGCTTCGAAGATGGTAATTCTATCGCCTTACAGGTCGAACGTGGAACTCTTGAACAAATTGACGCAGAAGCACTGCCCCGAACTCGCCACGATGAGTCCCGCATCGACCATTGATGGTTACCAGGGCCGGGAAAACGACATTGTTTTTGTTGTGATGGGCACCAAGGCCATAGATCCTGGTCCCGGGTTCACAAAGAAACGGTCCCGACTCAACGTCCTCCTGACGAGGCAGCGATGCGGTCTCGTTATCATTGGCGACATCAACGTCGTCGGGAAGATGAGCCCAAAGGCCTTCGGCACCAAGCCTCAGCTGGACCTCCCAGCTCTACCGGAATTCACATTGCCGAAAGCCCCGCCGTACATCTCGAAGGGCATCGCAGGGACCAGGGGAACCACGGCGCGTGAACAATACCAGGTCTGGCTTTTGTTATGGAAGAGTGGCAGGGTGGTGACCATGTCTGGCAAAACAGCCGCGAATGATGGCAGTCACGGCATCAAGAGAGAACATTCTGCATCTCCGTGTGGCTTCTTTGGAGAAGCAGATGAGGATGTAGACATGGAGACTGGCGGGGTGAAGGTGGAGGCGGAGGAGGCGGAGGAGGAGAAGATCGAGGTCAAGACCGAGGAGAAGGACTTCGAAGGGCCTGTGAAGAAGAAGCAACGTTTGATATTTTAAGTTTGTTGTCATAGAGTTCTCTTTTGCAGAAGAATATTGTTTGTTTCATTCATAATGCTCTCCAAAACACATCCCCGTAAAGTGAAATGCCAAGGTAAGTCCGACTATGAAATCAACAAAACCGAATCATCTTTCGCGGCTGAGTCCTTCAGCTGAGTCACTAAACATCGTCCTCATCTTGGTGTCCACACAAGTCACTCCTGCCACGCATGAAGCTCGTAAGACTACCAAGTGTGCCATTTTCCTGGATAACGATGATCAGACAACCCATCGGTGCATCATTGATTACCTTTTCTTGAGCAACGTAACGTCTCACTGACCGTTCTTGCGGCACCTCGTGCATCTTAGTAGCCCACCTGGTATCTTCCTATCGCTGAAACCATCGTTGTCCACTAAGCAGCTAGCATATATTGCAAACGAAACATTCACAATAGGTGAAAACAACCAACGTCAGCGACGCGTCCTCATGTTCCCCAGCACGCTATTATAGACGTAATTAAAACCCGTTAGCTTATTATTAGAACTTAGTTTCAGACGCCCACCTTAGGCCGTCTACTTCGCATTTAACTATTACTACTATTTATATATTTTACTAAGATCTAGCTTTTTACTACTAGAAATTGTGGCTATACTTCTAGACGTCTCACTTTGGACAGTACCACTAACTGGTGATCCAAGTATGTTTGATTAGATAGTAAACATCTGCGCTGAGTACACTCTGTCTGCTGCATCGTCGCAGGGGTAGTTGACATCGAGAAGATAAGGAATCTTGACTGGCTTGCGTATCTTCTTCTCGTTGTCGTGCCTGAGATTGCGACACCGGGAAGAAGATATGGCAGAGATGAAGGCGTTCCGTGCCGTCTTTCCTGCCTAAGGACAACCGAAAATTGTCCTAAGCTCCAATGGAAAGCGATCACAATTCGACGAAGTTGCTGTAGACACTCTTGTGGCCCATTCAGTCGGCTGTAGACCGACTGCAGATACGCGCTTCAAGTTCCGAGAGACAAGGCCGAAGCCATGTAAAAATTACGCTCCTTCATCAAGGCACCCATGGTACTGTTGGTTGATTTGTTGCACCAAGTGGATCTTCTGGTTGAGGTCCCTGAGGTAATAGCTGTTCAGGAGCCGTGGTGTCCGGAGTCTTCAGTTCTCTGGCATGAGATGCTTCATCAGCGACGGCTATATTTTGATACAGGGCTCTCTGGGGCTCTCCGATGAGAGTTGAACTGACGAGGTCGGCTTCTCCAATCTCAGACAGAGCATGTCTAGGTTCGTGAGTCTTGGGCTCTCGGCCTGTTCCTTTTGTCTTGACTGCACCATTCTCGAGCTTTTCCAGTATCGTGAGCGATTGTATCTGGTTCGGTCGGCATCATGCCGCCCTTCAGCAGCCTCGCCCCAATTGTCCAGGGATGTGGCTCGATCGCCGTGGCCCACGATTTCCTGTGTAAAAGCAGGTGTCATCCGATGTCCTCTTCTTAGGGAAAGTCTGGATTTCAACGCGTTTAGAATTAAGTGATGCAATGAAGGTAGTCGCATTGTTTGGGATGCCTCACCAATCACGACGGCGCCGAATCTCTGGCCTATTTTGGGGCGGCATTTCTGCTCAGGTCGACGACTCGACATCGTAAATGCCAATATGGTGACGCGACGCTAGACTGTGTACTACCAAAGACGGGGCCAAAGCAGTGTTCCATAGAAAGGGCCTTTGTTGTCATCGGTGGTGGTCTTGTGACAGTCTGTACTCCATTGCGAGGGTATCATTGGTCGTCTCTGTTGTCTTGCCGGGACCTGAACCTCGGTATCGGTTAGCTATCCAATTGCCAATAGGAAAGGAAATGTGACCTACTCCATGATCCCTCGTTGAGACTTGCCGAAAGACCTCGACAGACGTTCTCAATCATGTACCAGGCATGGGCGTGCCAGAATGTATTCGCCACGGGCGACCTTGCCAGGCAAATGTGACAACTTGGGCAAAGGACGGAAATGGTGTGGAGTTTCTGTGACAGTTGCCAACAACCCTGTCTTTTCAGGACTGGTGGCATCTTCGTCTTCAGCTGCAGGAAGCTGCATCGTGAATTGAGCGTAGCCTCGACTGCGCATCACGAGTCGCTCGAGGCACAAGTTCCGCTTGGGGTAGGGTTGTCAATGGCAGCAACGCTTCGCTCCGTGTCTTCATCAAGTAGTAGGAAACACAGTTGCAGTGTGCAGTGTCACCTTCGCTAGCTTTTGATCGGTCGCTGAAAGTTGAGATATCCCGGTTTCTGTCAGACTGGCGTGGAGGCGGATTTGCCAGGGGCCCGTGGCAAGCGTGACTGCAGATCTCAAGAAACGGGAATTCACGAGAGTCTGGATACTGTTTGTGTGAGAGATGAAGCTGAATTGCCTTGGATGATTTGTTAGAGTATGAGGAAGAACGCACTGTGGTCACTTACCGGTGTTGTAGCCCTGCCAGCTATGTGAGGGAGAGGGGAGTGTTGGCAAGCACGTCGGGTAATGCCTTTCGGCCAGTACGAAGGTCACTGATCGTTTATCGAAATGCGTACGTATGTAGAAGGAGGAAACTAATTGGCACAGCCCAAGACTCCACGATCAGACTTTGAGTATTACTTAAGTCAACATACCCACTTCCTGGCACCCCCCTGTTTCTGGCACCCACAAAAACGCGAAAATCCACCACAACCCAATGCCCACCCCCAACCTCCTTTTATCACAACATTTTCAATTCGCGTCCAAATGGGCTCATCTTTTGCACATGTCTTCTTCTATATATAATGCCTCAATATACCGAAGATCAGCTTCGTCAGGCTCTCGAGGA